GCGGTGCTCAGTTCATCATTCAAAGACAGTAACACTAACATAACACATCCTTCAAAACAGCAGAGAGAGGATTTGAGCTGCCACGATAACCTTTCATGATGCATATGATGTAACTAAAGAGCTTCTTCCAATAATATTTGACCTGTTGGTGAAATCTGTGATATGTTAGCCTGTAAGAAAACATTGTGGAGGAGAGTTTCTCAGATATGAGTTTGACAGCTTTCCGCTGTAAAGAAACCGAGTCTGCATGTGGACATAATAAGACCCACGACGGGGTGCAAATAACAGAGTCCATGTTCAGTCAGGGTGAAGAAACAGATCTTTATTTCATATGGATTCATCAGGTATTGATGAGCAATACAACATCCGGTGACAGCAACAGGTCCATGCACAGGCCCAGGGACCCAAACAACAACAGAGTGCAGCCCGGGGCAACACCCCACCCATGGGCCTGCACTGGCTCACTCTCAGGGTGGATTAAATAGAGGGGAAAGAATAAACTCACAAAAGAAATCACACAAAACACAAAAACAACACAAGGGTTGTGGATCTGCAGGGAAACTACTAAACATGTTACTGCTACACCAGAACTCCTGGAACACCCATCTACGCCCTCACTGACTGCAGACGCCTCCACAGCTCTGAAATCTATACATACATGTTTATATAGCACCTGCACAGGTGCCTGGAGTGAGGTGTGTCCTGGTCCCCTCACAGCTGATTGCATATATACACATATGTGCTGTAACGAAGGCTCCTCCCCCTTTTTCCTTGAATCCCGGCTGCCTCGCTTGTTTTGCTGCTTGCTGCTCTCGGGCGGTTCAAACATGATTAAAGATGACGAGTTTTTTCCTTTTTGCCGTGGCCTCTGTTTGCAGGTGCAATCAGGTTAATCGACTGAGAGCTTTCAGCGGAAAATAATGGATGAGGGAGTGCGGCGAGCTAAAAGCAGGAGGCTGTCACATTAAGCATTCAAGCATTCGTTTTATAAGAACTGTTTACCAGACAAGCTTTGACTGATCTGACTGCAGCTAAACCGTCAGCAGGTTACTGGGAACCAAAGTTAAACCCAGTTTGATCAGATAACTAAAACATCTGCAGCCAACTGAACCGTCCTGCCGCACATCTGTAACTGAATATCAGAATAACACAGAATCACAGGCTTTGTGAGGTCAGTCAGCTCTCACAGATGGTCACAGCCTGATCCATAAACTGTACAGGAGCTCACCTGTTTCAATTCATGATTAGGGGCGTGTCCTATGACCTTGTCAGTGGTTAATAACAGAAAATCCTAGAGTACATTTGAGGATTCTGATTGGACGTCCTGAGCACTGATTATATTCTGTGTATCTGCGTGGCGCTGCTGTATCTGTGCAGATAACCGAGCTAGCATTAACTGATACTCCAGCTTCTTTTCTCTCCTGCAGACGAAACGCTGAGGCTGTAAAACGCAGACTTCATCTTTTATCTGCAGGTGTGACCGTCCACATCAGTGATGTAATCAAAGTGCGCCTCCCGCGACTCCTTCAGTCATTCAGGGTTTGTGTTTTCACTTCTGGCCACCAGATGAATATCTGTATACACTCACAGCCACTTTATTAGGTACGCTGGTACTGGTGCTGGAAACATTTCTCAGCGCTCCATGTTGACAGGATGACATCATCACACAGCATCCATGATGAGAATCTCCCGTTCGGTCCCAAAGCTGCCGTTGGACTGAGACCTGTGTCTGTGGAGTGAACTGCCTCAGTGTTATGCTGCAGCCGTAACACGGAGGTAAGCTGTGGAGTTCAATGATGATCAAGCCCAAAGTGTGCTCAGAAAATCTTCCCACAGCATCACACCAGCAGCAGCGTGGACACTGATACTGGCAGGATGGATCCACACTAAGCTGAGAGCTTTTTCCACCTTCTCTTGTCCAGTTTTGTGAGTCTGTGTAGCCTCAGTTTCAGGAGTGGCACTCTGTGGTCTTTTTGGAGCGTTCTCCTCATCCCAGCTTTACCTTTGCTTGTTTCGGTACATGCTCATGTATGAAGGATGAAATAATTATATGATGAATGAATGTTTACGCAGGGTCAAAGGGCACAGCATCACTCTGTTAGTTTCTCTTCAAAGAGAGTTTAACTTCAAATCACTAAGGGAGGAAGGGAAGGAGGAATAGGAGGAGGAAGGGAAACACAGGAAGCGGAGAGGAGGCTGGGAATGGAGGAGGAGCGTGGAGGGTAAACTAATGAGCCCAGATGGCTTAGAGAAAACATGCCGACCTGAGGAGGAGGATTAAACGTACTCTGTACAGCGTGTGAAAGCATGTGTCCTCGGGCTAAACGTCGAGCTCACACTCAGAGAAAAGCTGCACTTTGTCATTTTAATGAGCTGAAGATCAGTCTGTGTGTGTCTGCGAGCCTCCGTGTAACGCTCACACTCCCAGCCTGCTTACTGAGGAGCGTCTCAGGTCAGTGCTGCCAGCGTCTCGTTCACTTTACTGACGTTCCAGCGTGTTCTCGGCACAGACCTCACATCATCTCACCGCTGAACACAAGGTGTCTCTGGAGATGACGCCCCGTTTTAAGCCCTGCAGAGTCCCGTGTGAGGAGGGGCCCGTGGGTTAGCTCCAGTCTGCTCTCGTCAGGAAGGTTCGGCTGGGGTGAAGCTGCACTGATCACAGCTTTCACACCTCAGAAGAAGATTTATGGTGCTGCACGAATCATTTCTAAAGACCTGCGTGTTCCTCATCACGCACAATAAGACAAACTGCCCACAAAGCGAGGCCGTGCAGGGCTGCTGGCTCTGACCAAGAGCCCGACGACAGCAGAACATCTGCAGCTGTGCAGCCACCGAGCGCTGTGAGAGAGAGCCAGATAGAAACAGTGGAAACAGTAGAAACACTTCATTCAGTCTAACAGGAGCAGGCTGAGCCCACAGTCCTCCACCATCCACAGTGACACACTGAAGCTGTGTACACCAGTGGATCTGTCACACTACTACTGCTGATAATAATAATAGGAGTTATTATTACTTACTTATTACTATTTTTAGAGTTTTTACATCAGTCGTAGCCAAAAATGTTCATAATAAATAACAATACGATTTTAAGTCACATGTTAAATAAACAAAAAGTGAAAATCCGACTTTGTTCTTGCAGACGTTGTTTCCTCTTTAAAACGATGCTTCACGTGGACTTTCATTCGGCCTGCACGACACCGTGTAGATGCAATTTTAAGTAGAACTTGTTCTTTGTTCCGCCCACACTGCGGTTTTATTGTGAAGCACTTTGATCTACACTAGTCTCTTAAATGTGCTTTATAAATAAACGTCAGTCACTTACAGCCTCCTTCAGTCAAAGTAAAGCCTTCGGTTTGACCCTCTGTCGTTTTGAACAGGATCATTATTTATGTCTGAAGGAGCAGGTCTGTCTCGTTCTGCAGGCGGCAGCGCCCCCTGCTGTTGTGAAGGTTACACCCTGATCATGAGCCCTGCAGTCAAACTCTGCTGATATTCAGAGTTAGGGAACCTGAGAGGACACAGAGGTGGTTCTGTTCATTCACTTTTCCAGCATCGTTACCTCTGAAGAAGATCATTCAGCTGCTGTAAGTTTCTCTCTAAACTTGAGTCACAGGCTGAAGCTCTGATCCTTCAAACATTTACAGGAACTCCTTCAGAACCAGAAGTTTTTAATCAAAGCTCCCAGTCTGTAGCAAAGAACACACGCTGCTGTTCCACATTTCAAAGCTAACAGCCACAAAATGATTTTGGAAGAAGGACACTCAGCTGGAAGTCAAAGGTAGTCATCATGTCCCACCTGCTGGCATGAGCCTTGAATGTTTACCCAGAATGCATTTTTTGGAGTTTCCTGCAGTGATTTATCAGAAACAGATCACACATGCAGAGTGCTGATGCTGTTTCTGCTCCTCTGCCTCACAGATACGAACCTGCTGCTCGGGCAGAGACTCGGTCCTTAGCCTGGGACTCTGAGACGAGGCATAAACAGATTTGTTCGTAGTTTTGATCCAAGCTTAAATGTGTTTTTTAGCCCTGTAACTTTGATCTGGACCCTTTCTGTCAGTGGAAACGAGCTCAGGTTCAGTCCCTGCGATATCCCAGTGGAAGGAGGGCAGCTCAGCTGTATGTGTTACTGCGTCAGCACTGCTCTAAAAAATAAACACAAAATTACAGAAACACTTTGTTGGCACTTTAGAGAGAATGTTTTGGTGAATAAACATTTGTTTATTTGTTTATTTATTTTACTGTGGACACGTTAAAAAGAAGGAACTTCTGTTACTTTTACTATGGAAGCCTGTGGGGGCTTCATCAGTAGGACGAGCTGTAAAGTTGATAAAAATACAGGTAAAAGTGCGTCTGCTGGGCCGATTCTGGCCCCTGGGCCATATGTTGGACACCCCTGTGCTCACCTGATTCTGTATACGGACCGTACCTTGCTCAAGGGCACCTCAGAGGAACCGTTCGGTGGATTTGAACCCCCGACCTTCCGATCATGGGGAAAAGACTCCACCTACCGAGCAATCTCTGCCCTCACACACCTGAGGAAGCTGCTGCTGTGGGTTGATGTCCCCTATAATGTGCAGCGCCACCATCAGGTCAGCATGTGAACGCGCTCAATGCTGTGATTTATGGTGGGGGTGGGAGGGGGGTATCTGCGGACATGAAGACACTTCCACTCAGTCATAAAGCGGCTGTGACGCAGTTATTATTATTATTATTATTATTATTATTATTATTATTATTATTATTATTATTGTCGGTGAGATTAGGTCAGCTGCAAAGCATGCAGGGATACCTCTGTGTGTGTGTGTGTGTGTGTGTGTGTGTGTGTGTGTGTGTG